CGCTCATGTTTTGGATCATGCTATCGTAGTTCATCTCCCGAGATTCTCGCAATATCATCTCATCGATTTGTGTTGCAAACTTTCTTTCCGGACATGCCGATGTCTGAAGTGTCCTGTTACCAACCAGATCTGAATCTCAGGCAGATATGATGGTTGGAAAAATCCCCAACATTTGCATTTTGTTCCCAGCTTGCACCACCATTGTGCCATTTTTCCCATGGACTACCTTCTCGGTAATTCCTGGTCAGGATCATCTTCAACAGTGGTACTACCATGGGTTCCATCCATTTCCGATGATAAGCAAAGTCATCCATTGTGTTGTCTTCAACAAGGTAGTCCACATCATCCATCCTAGTCCGAGTATGCAATTTCTTCGAGCTCTTTCAAACAATCAATTGTAATTTGCCTTAAGCTGGTATGAAGAGTTTCAATGATCTATGGATCAAAAGTAATTCTTTTTGCCACTTAAGGGAATAGTTCTTCGAGTCACCTTTTCCAAAGTGCCTCATTACGGGATCATGGCAATCAATCTCCTTGCTACTTTGAAACCATGCACCATCCTACTCCAGTGTGGAATTGTTGCCTACCAAATTGAACCTCTGTCATCTATTTCTTCCATCCCTCCCGATGTGTGTCTTGTGTCTCAGCTCAAGAAATGTGTCTACGTCTCATTCCGTGAGTCGATCTTGTGCTCTTTAAGATCGATGATCCATTCTTGTGAGGTTGTCTTGCTCTCTTGTCGCCTTATTAGATGAAGTTCTCGAAGGAAAGGATGTCATAATCAATATGCTGTAGCGGATCAACATCTCCGAGAAGGGCAGTTGGATCGAGAAGATCGTGTTAGCTTTGTGTCCCCGCTGTCTTCTTACCTCACGTCTTGAATCTCGGGACGAGATTCTCGTTTAGTGGGGGTGAGTTGTCACAGCCCTAGAATTTGGTTGTAGAAAGTGGCTTTGCACCCATACATCATGTTTAAATTCAAGAAAACTTGAATTGAGGAAATTTGAAAGCCTAAAAATTTTTAATTAAAAGAAGGGCAAATAACCCTGGAAAATGCATCCAATGTTTCCAAAATGCTCTTCAATGATGTTTAATATTTTTGGCAAGGGTTTTGGTCCAAACCAAAAATATGGAACATTTTTGAGGAATTATTTTGGCCATTTGGATTTAAATCAATAAATATTTGAGTTGGATTTAATTCTTCTATAAAAGAATTGCAAGTCCAACAATTCTGAAAAAACCTATGAGTGGCTTTGAATATATTGCATCAAGCCACATAAATATTTTCAGAAGCTACTAAATGATTTGGGTTGTGAATCAAATCAAAACAAAACAAAATAAATAAAAAACTGAAATAGATTGAGAGAGAGAAGGATTACCTGGCGCTTACCTACAACCCAGAGGCCCACTACTATGCGGCCCAGCCCATCAGGGGCATACCTGTCTTCAACCTCTGCCTACTGGCAGAGGCAAGCCGAGCACGGCACCCGCGCGTGCCGGCACGCAGCTGCCTGCCTGGTCTCCCCTGGCCAGCGCGGTGCCGCCCACGACACCCTGGGACCCCCTTTGCTTCTCCCTCGCTCTCTGGACCTCTCTTCCCCTTGATCCTCTATTTTCTTCCCCTAGCAGAGCTCGCCGTCGCTGCTCATCACCACCGCGGCCACCGAGCCCCCCTTGCCTATCCAGCTTGTCGCCGAGGTCCGCCATGGCCCGAAGACCCTCTACGACAAAGATGAAGACCCCGGGAGCCCCGCAGCATCGCCACCACCACCATCTCCGTCCCCTGCCTTGGCGGCCGCCGTCACACGATTCGCCGCTTGCCGGTCGTCCCCGAGCCCGCTGAAACCACCGCCGGCCCCTTGTGAGCTCCTATTCGTTTCCTCCCCGTCCTCTTGCTCGCGCGCCTGCTCTAACTGTGCTAGCCGTCGCATCCGTGAGCTCACCGCCGACGTACTTGTCGCCGCCGTCGTTGCAGGTCACCGAACTCGCGCCCGAGCACGTCGTTGAGGTCCTGCAGCCCCTCTAGACCCAACGGTGTGCCTAGTTTGCTTCGTCGTGCACCACTGCGCCATCCCGCTCGAAGCCGTAGCTCCGGTCGCCGCCCAACTCGCCTGTGCCACCGCTACCGAGAGCCCCGCACCGTGTTGCTGCCACCGCTGGATGCGCGGGAGCACGGGCTCCCTCCTGGTTCCCTAAGCGCGCCCAGCCGTCGCCCCTAGCGCCACCCCGGCGAGCCGCCACCGCACTACGAGGTTGCCGGCGCTTGATCCGGCGACGCTGACGTGGAGCCATCATTAGGCGTTAATCACCACTAACCCTCCTAACAGACACTGACGAGCGGGCCCCGCGTTGGGTCAAATCCCAGTCAACACGGGATTAACCTCTAATTAACTATAAGCATATGACATGTGGGACCGGGTCGACAGGTTTGACCATGGTCAGCCCTGTTGACTTGCTGACGTCACGGTGACATCATGCTGACGCAATAAGTCCTTTTCTGGATTTGATTTATTTCTAAATAACCAGGAAATTCCAGAAAATGTCTAAAACTTCTAAAATTCATAGAAATTCAACCGTAACTCCAAATAAGATAAATTATATATGAAAAATGATCAGAAAAATCCAATCTATCCATCTATACCATTTTCATGCATGTTTGAGCAACTTAACCTCACTGTTTAGTCCAAAACATGATAATGCACTATTTGAATTCATAGTTTGAATTTGAATTTGAACCTTGAGTTCAAATCAACCCAAACCTTTCTGTTACTAGTTGCATTAGCTCAAATCACAACATATTGTCATGTCATGATCATGCATCATATTGTGCATTGCATTGATTGTGCTCTTCCTTGTTTGTCGGTAATTGTCCCCTTTCGGTAGACGCTGCTCCGACGCTGTGATCGTTGACATTGATGAAGACTCAATGTTATCTTCAGAAGTGCCAGGCAAGCAAAACCCCCTTGTTCATTCTGATACAATCCCCCTCTCTCACTCCTTCTCTCTTTTACTGCATTAGGGCAACACCGATTCAACTGTTACATGTTGCGGTAGTTGAACCCTTTCCTCTGCATGACCTTCGACGTTTAGCTTGTTACCTCAGCTACGATCTTGTACCCTTGGGAGGGTCATGTAGATAGTCAGGCTTCTCAACCTTTTTCATTTGTAGTTGTCTGTACTCAGACAAGTTAAGCTTCCGCATGTGCTTGTTGCTTGTATGCTCTGTATGTTGGGTCATGAGACCCATGTTTGTAATACTTGGCTCCTCGGAGCCTAATGAATAAATACTTTGAATCGTAGAGTTTTGTTGTGATGACATGTTGTATTTACACATATCGAGCATATTGTGTGTATGATTGAAATGCTTGGTATGTGTGGGATCCGACAACCTAGTTGTTTACCCTTGATAGCCTCTCTTATGGGGAAATGTAGTCTTGTGCTTCCATGAGCCATAGTAGTCCGCTACAGCCCGGTTCACCGGAGTCCTGTTAGCCCAGCACTACTGCTCCGGAACACTTGATTGGCCGGCATGTGATTCACTTTGTTCCTGTGTCTGTCCCTTCGGGGAAATGTCACGTGGTGACATCCGGAGTCCTGCCTAGCCTGCTACAGCCTGGTTCACCGGAGTCCTGTTAGCCCAGTGCTACAGCCCGGATTCGCACGCTGCTGACCGACATGCTCGATGTTGATTCATGTATGCCTGTCCCCGTAAGTTAGTGCCACTTTGGGTTCACGACTAGTCATGTCGGCCCGGGTTCTCTGTCATATGGATGCTAGCGACACTATCATATACGTGAGCCAAAAGGCACAAACGGTCCCGGGCCATGGTAAGGCGACACCCGTGGGAATACTGTGCGTGAGGCCGCAAAGTGATATGAGGTGTTACTGGCTAGATCAATGTGACTTGGAATCGGGGTCCTGACACCTAGGCCCCTCTGGTGTCTATATAAACTGAAGGGTTTAGTCTGTAGAGGCAATCAGAATTCACATAGGCTAGATAGCTAGGGTTTAGCCATTATGATCTTGAGTTAGATCAACTCTTGTAACCCCTATACTCATCAAAGTCAATCAAGCAGGAAGAAGGGTTTTACCTCCATTAAGAGGGCCCGAACATGGGTAAATATCGTGTCCCCTTTGTCTCCTGTTACCTTCGTGTTGGGGAACACAATAATTTCAAAAAAATTCCTCTGCACACGCAAGATCATGGTGATGCATAGCAACGAGAGGGGAGAGTGTTGTCCAGGTACCCTCGTAGACCGTAAGCGGAAGAGTTATGACAATGCGGCTGATGTAGTCGTACGTCTTCATGATCGACCGATCCTAGCACCGAAGGTACGGCACCTCCATGATCTGCACACGTTGGGCTCGGTGACATCCCACGAACTAATGATATAGCAGAGTGTCGAGGGAGAGCTTCGTCAGCACGACGACATGATGACGATGATGATGATGCTACCGGAACAGGGCTTCGCCTAAGCACCACTATGATATGACCGAGGTGGATTATGGTGGAGGGTGGCACCGCACATGGCTAAGGAATCAATGATCAACTTGCGTGTCTATGGGGTGCCCCCCTCCCCCTTATATAAAGGAGTTGAGGAGGGGGAGGGCCGGCCCTCCTAAGGAGGGGAAGACAGCCCATAGAAATCTTGGATAGAGAAGCTATATCCTATTCATTGGTACTAATCATGGATACTTCAATTTTTTTATATTTGTTTGAAGTCATGATCTGAACGAGTCGCACATACACCCTAGCACATATTCCTCAACGCTGAGGGCATCCTTTAAGCGTGGCCGTTTTTCGAGCATTTCGTATTGGCTGTCTTGCATTTCTAATAAGTTGTTTAACTGTCGGCATGTTGTATGTATATAGAAAAAAAATGGATTGGTTTAGATCCATCTTAACCTGATGATTGCTCATCATGAGGTCTTTCTATTTTCTATTAAATCATGGAAAACACGAATTTAGCTGTGAAATAACTTTACAAGAAATCCGAACACTACCAATCCTTAAACATTTTTGGAAACCACACTGGATCAGTATCGCAGTGCTTGTCAATCATTTCATCCCCTACAATATCGACAAGTCCATAAGCTTTGGCTTCGTCTGCTAACATAAAAACATCCCTTTCCATGTCTTCGGATACAACCAAAAAAGGCTTGCCTGTTCTTACTGCATAAACCCTTGTGATCATTTCGCGAACTTTGTGTAACTCTTCTACTTCTAGTAAAAATTCTGGTGTCCTTGCCCGATAATAAGCACTAGCAGGTTGGTGAAGCATAATTCTCGCGTGAGGGAATGCTATACGCTTGGTGGTTCTCCTCCAAGCAGAATGAAGGACGCCATGGAGGCGGCTATTCCGAGGCATATTGTATATATGTATATATATATCTGGTGTCACCATTTGCATCATATCAAAAATAGCCATTCCTGAGATTAGCCACCCGCCTGGGGAGTTTATAAACAAAAAAAATATCACTAATTCCATCTTCTATACTCAGATATACCACGAGACCTATAATATGATTCGTGATCTCGCAACGAATCTCTTGACCTAAAAAAAGTGTCCTTTCGCGATACATAACATTGTATAAGTCAACCCAAGTCGCTTCTTCATCTCCAGGAATCCGGTAAGGTACTTTTGGAACACCAATGGGCATATTAGATTAATATTATTAAATTTAAGTAAGAAAACTACACTTTAATATGGAAACGTAAGAATGGAACAGAAAGAAAGAATCCGCAGTTTATTTTCTTAATTTTTATTCTTATTCTATATGAATACTATAGATTCTATTAATACGTAGATTGAAAGGTTATACATATAAGGAATGTAAGACAGATTGAATAAAGAAAAAGGAATGGGTGATTTGAATGCTAAACAAAGAGGGGTAGCGATCTATTCTTTGTTTTTTCCAAATTGGCCAAGTTACCCATTGCATATTGGCACTTATCGAGTGTAGAATAGATCTACTTCTCTTTCTTCTTATGAACAGAATTGGCTTCTTATTTTTAATGGAATGAAATAAATATTCGCGCTTTTTGACATAGAATCCCCTAGAAGGGTTAGGTACAAAGGATATGGATAGTCTTTTTCAATGCGATAAAATAAAGCGACATCGTGTCTATTTTTCTTTGCTAAAGGGGTATTTCCATGGGTTTGCCTTGGTATTGTGTTCATACTGTCGTATTGAATGATCCGGGTCGATTGCTTGCGGTGCATATAATGCACATAGCTCAAGTTTCTGGTTGGGCTGGTGTCGGTGTCAAAACCGGCGGATCTCGGGTAGGGAGTCCCGAACTGTGCGTCTAAGGCGGATGGTAACAGGAGGTAGTGGACACGATGTTTTACCCAGGTTTGGGCCCTCTTGATGGAGGTAAAACCCTACGTCCCGCTCGATTTATTCTTGATGATATGGGTATTACAAGAGTTGATCTACCGCAAGATCGGAGAGGCTAAACCCTAGAAGCTAGCCTATGGTATGATTGTATGTTATTGTCCTGTCCTACGGACTAAAACCCTCCAGTTTATATAGACACCGGAGAGGGTTAGGGTTACACAAAGTCGGTTACAAAGGAGGAGATATCCATACCCGTACTGCCTAGCTTGCCTTCCACGCCAAGTAGAGTCCCATCTGGACATGAGACGAAGTCTTCAATCTTGTATCTTCATAGTCTAACAGTCCGGCCAAAGGATATAATCCGGCTGTCCGGAGACCCCCTAATCCAGGACTCCCTTAGTAGCCCCTGAACCAGGCTTTCAATGATGATGAGTCCGGTGCGCGGTATTGTCTTCGGCATTGCAAGGCGGGTTCCTCCTCCGAATACATCACGGAATAATTTGAATACAAGGATAGTGTCCGACCCTGCAAAATAAATTCCACATACCGCCGTAGAGAGAATAATATTTCCACAAATCCAATTTGCTGACTTGTTTTGGCAACACGACATTATGCCATGGCCCGGTGATTATTCGAACAGTTTCCTTTAACTAGCCTCGCACATAACGCGAGGCAGTTTTTTGACACGTCTTGTCAAAGCAGAGATCGTGTCCCCCTTATTACAGGATTCTCATCAATACGGGCGTGGGTAACCCAACCGCGCCATCGATTACGGTGCTTGGGGGATAAGCGAGTTTTACCAGGCTAGTGGGAACGCATAGTTTCGTCCGCCCATATAAAGGGATAAGGATTCGCCTTTTCATCCACACCTTCTTCCTCCTTTGCTCATCCATTTTCGCGCACTCGAGCTCCAGCGCCCAAGTCCGCACTTCCCACCTCAACCTTCTCCAACTATGTTCGGAGTGGGAGGCAGGTGGATGGTCTCCTCCGTCACGGAGGGACATATCAAGAAGCTGAGGAGAGCCGGATACCTGCCCGATGACATCGCGCACCGGCTCCCAGATGAGGTGCAGCTCATCCCCACCCCTAGGCCCCATGAGAGGGTAGTGTTCCTTACCCGTTTCCTCTGCGGACTGGGATTCCCTCTCCACCCATTCGTTCAGGGGCTCATGTTCTACTACGGCCTGGATTTCCACGATCTAGCCCCGAACTTCATCCTCAACATCTTGGCGTTTATCATCGTGTGCGAGGCCTTCCTCCGCATCAAGCCCCACTTCGGCTTATGGCTGAAGACCTTCAATGTCAAGCCGAAGGTAGTGAGCAGCCGCCAGGCAGAGTGCGGAGGCGCCATGGTGGGCAAGATGCCCAACATCACATGGCTCGAGGGCTCCTTCATGGAGACCGTAAAGGGGTGGCAATAGGGGTGGTTCTACATCACCAAGCCGCGTGACCCTAAATGGGCAGAGCCCCCCGAGTTCCGATCTGGCATCCCCACGCGGCTCATCTCCTGGCAAGAGAAGGGCCTGTCCTGGGGTAGTTCGGGAGAGCTGACCGAACTCGAAACATGTATTCAAAACATGGTGAACAAGAAGCTCAAACTCCTCAACGTAGTCCAAGTCATGCTCATCCGCCGGATCCTCCCGTGCAACAACGGGCTTTCAACTTGTGGGAGTTTGACCCAGCCCAACACTGAACTCTGAACAGGCTCTTCGACACAACTCACGAGGATGCCTAGAAGGTGCTATTCAAGGGTGCCGAGGTTCCTCCTCCCACTACCGAGGATCACGGATTCTGCGCGAAGTGCCAAGCCAGCGTGGTAAGCTGTTTTACCTCTCACAGGATACTTGTTTTTCATAGTTTGACTCTATGCGGGATCTAAGCTCCTGTACCTTTGACAGGACTGGCAGGAGATGACCGGACAGATCGACTGTCCGGCTCCTTTGCTCGAAGGCCCAGCAGACGCTCTCCTGATGAAGATGTTGACTCCATCTCCTTACAAGGTGCCGGAGAAGAACAAGAAGGCCAAGGGAACCCGAAAGAGTTCCCGACGCCAGGCATCGTCGGACTCATCGTCCGATAACTCTGCGACACACTCCTCCACTGAAGACGAGGAGGAAGAAGAAGATGCTCCCCCTTCAGATGGGGGAGAAAAGAAAGGGAAGGCCGCCCCAACTGGAGAGGCCGAAGGGTCCAAGAAGGTAAGGACTCTCCTTCCGGACAGTTCCACCATCGTCGCCGAAGGCGAAGACGACTGGCTACTCAGGGCCAAGCCCCTGGCGAAGTCGTAAGTATTCGGATACCAGAGTAACTCATAGCATTCCTTTGTCGCACTGCTTCCCCTAACGCCGAATATGATTATGCAGGCCGCCATGAGTCTAATATAAGTATGTCAATATGCGTATGTAGGCTTCGCTGCTGGCCTCAGCCACACTAACTACGGAGGTCGCCACACAGAAGCAGGACCTCGAGGGGTCCAAGAAAGAGCTCGGTCTTGCCAAGAGGCTGCTCGAGGAAAACAAGGGTAAGTAATACCCTGTTTATAGATATGTATATATAAAAGAAGACGCGATTGCAAAATGACAGGATCATCGTATATTTGCTAGGGGCCACAACCGAGGTGGCGACCCTGAAGCAAGCGCTATCCGAGGCCGAAGACAAAGCGGCCAAGGAGCGAACCGAGCGGGAAAGGCAAGAGGCACGGGTGGGCGAGGTGCAGCAAGAGCTCCAAGCTCTCGTGTTGAAGCATGAGGCGTTGGAGCGTGACTCGAAGATGCGAGAGTCTGAGCTTGCCGCATCCCGTGAAAGTGCAAAGAGTGCCAAGGCCGAAGCACAGAAGGCCCTCCAGGAGATTGATGCGATGAAGAAGATAGCGGCGGGTAAGGCATTCTATATGCAAAGCAAGCACGAGAAAGTAAATTACCTGTTACTTACCCGAATCCGAAGCTCTCCAGGAGCATTCGCAGATTTGCACCGCAGCATGTTGGATGCCGCACAATTTTACCAGGCCGAGGACGGGAGCTCAACGGAGAAGCTGTTCTGGTCTTAGTATACTGGGACCGAACACCCGATGCCTCTGAGCGACCAACTAAAGCAGCTGGTCGAGCTACACAAGGCGGCCGAACAGGCCATGAAGGGCCTTATAGTCCGGCTGTGGCCTGGCGATGCCCTTCCGAACAGCTACTTCGGCCTGGTGAGGCGGCTTGTGGATGCCTGCCCACGGCTGGAAGTCATCAAGCGGTCCGTCTGCATCGAAGGTGTACGCCGAGCTTTCGCCCGTGTGAAGGTGCAATGGGCCAAGCTAGACACCGTGAAGCTGATCAAGGAAGGACCGCCGCAGGGCAAGGAGCATCGCACACCCGAAATTTATTATGAGGGTGTTCTGAAGGGTGCCCGTCTTGTAGCGGACGAATGTCCAAACGATGTAATATTTGAGTAAACTTGCTCGTGTGATCCTGTATGATGAAAACTTGTTTCATATGCGCTATGCAATGCTTGTTTGAATTTAAAATATTACCTTCTGTTTGGCTGTTTATCCAATCTGAGAGATGGCTAGTCCTCGGCTTCTGCCCCCATGCTGCGAGTGCTGGGGTGTTCGGGATAAACCTGAGCACTCTTGTTCCCATTTTTGGGTCCTTCGAGGGAGGTGCTCAGCACAGTGAACAAGGCAACCAGACTAATAATGCTTTATCACTCTTACTTAACCATAGAATTCTATAATTTTAAATTTCGGCGAAGCCCCTGGTATTTGGAAGGACGAATTCGGGGCGCGATACACGCCTTTAAGCCGGACAGGACCGACTCCTCGCTCTAAGCGGCATAAGTCTTTAGGGACTCGAAACCTCGCCGAACTGCGACCAGTCTCTCGCCTTATCATGACAGTCAGTTTTAGCTTTCTCTACTGAGGTGCTTAGCCCAGCAGAACCGAGGCACAATCTCAGTAGTTCTCCTAGTGCTACCTTAGCCGATAGAGCGGAACGTAAGGTACGAAAACATAGGAGCCAGGCAAACCCAACATTTGACCAAAGACATGATTCGGAGCTGATGCATATAATGCTATAAGTTCGGGGTGCCGCACTTGTGAAAGTGTTCGGACTTCTCACACCATAATGTGGGGTACTTAAGCCCCTGGTGTATTGGCCGTACCAAAGTGTACGGTTGCAAGGCGTCACTAATGAACACACATATATAAAACAAGAATGCAATAATAGTCGTAATGTTATGCATTGTTTATTCAAAAAGGTGCATTAAAGCAGAATGATACAGATAGTGCAATAAGCAAAAAGTAGGACTATGTCCCTTCCAAGGGCAAGCTGAGGAAT